CTATTCCTCATCTCGGTGCAGCTTGATGAGCTACCAGGTCCGAATAAGGTATAGTAGTGTGACGATTGTAAACTTCTAGTACTTCTATTTCCAAAACAAATTACCTAAACCTCGTTCGTTGCAGCTTGATGAGCTACATGTAATATCCCGAATAAGGTAGTATATATATAATAGACTAAACCAGGAATGAAACCCAAGAGGGACTAATAAAATCGATTATCTTTAGCAATCACATGATTTTTCTTTTTTACTGGTAGGGTTGAGATCAGTTTTGCTAATAAATTGCACATTTTCTCAAAATATTATCTCATCGAATCTGTTAAGCCAAACCACTTTTCTACTGTGTACAGTTCTGTTGTTATTTTCCCCTGTATTTGTACAAAAATATGAAATAAGAACATTTTTTTAATATCAGTGATATACATATGATACCAGTAAAATATGTAGGGGTGCTATATTCCTGCTATATAAAGTGTTAAAGTTATTCATCAAGTTATTCACCAAGCTTTAATTCCTACCTAATAAATCTTTTTAAGTTACATAACCAGCTAATCAGGATTGAAGTTTATAGATCGGACTGTGCCTTAATATCCTTATAATCGATAAGAGATTAAATTTGGTGTTTAATTGTGTTCCACTTGAAACATTTTCTTTTTCACAAACAGTTTCATTAAAAGCTGATGAAATATTTTTCAATGTTTAAGATGCCTTCAAGAAATCTAGGACTTAAATTAAAGATGTGTGTTACAAGAGTGTGTCGACACCAGCAGGAGAAGTTTTATCACAATTAATTAATTGAAGCTTGACAGCACTTACACATATTTGTCTCTGACAAATTTGATGTTACATGTTACTTGTTCTATAACAGTGTACCATAGCACTATATTTACATTTGCCCCTGTGCCGCCCCATTACAACAGTGTTAGAGGGCAAGTGTAATTATACATTGTATAGGCTATAATTACAACTGCTCGATTATAATTACAACTGCCTGTTTCAGGTGTAGGAATATGTAAACAAACAAAATGGCCGCCTGAAATGTATTTTGAGGCAGGGCAAATGGTTTTTGTAGGAATATGTCTCAAAAAAGAAAAATATCTAAATATAAAAAATACCTGGTTGTCTGGATGGGATTCACTTGTAATTATATCAACAATAATTACATCCAGACAACCAGTTATTGTTTAAATGTTTATACGTGTATTGTCATAACGTTTAGGTCATAAGGATGAGCCACACATCGTGTAAAACAGCTGTCTCAAGGTGCCACTTCACTGAAATGGTACACTTAGGTTACACACAGACAAAGGGTCAACCACAAGAGTTACCCGGCCCCTTACAGGTGTATTTCTTCTGTCAGCAGGTCTTATTGGTGGTGCTGAAGACAGACCAAAATCTAGTCTGCCCAGTTATCTACCTTTGATTAATTTGAGAAAATCTGTAATTGTGTAGTATAAACATAACATCAAACAAATGATAACATTTTGATTTTATTGTTAGCTCACCTGGTCCGAAGGACCAAGGTGAGCTTATGCCATACCGTGGCGTCCGTCGTCCGTACGTCAACAATTTCTTTAAACGACTTCTTCTTCTTAACCACTGGTTGGAATTAAACTAAATTTGACTGGAAGCATCCCTAGGTGGTGGGGATTCAAAATTGTACAAATGGTGGGGCTGACCCCCCAGGGGGCTGAGGGGCGGGGCCAAAAGGGGTCAATTTGCCCATATTGCTTTAAGCGACTTCTTCTCTGAAACTAAGAAGTGGATATCAACCATATTTGACTGGAAGCATCCCTAGGTGGTGGTGATTAAAAATTGTACAAATGGTGGGGCTGACTCCCCAGGGGGCT